TCCAGACTAAGTTCAGTACGTACTGTTGTTGGCACGGGCTTGGTTACGATTCGTCTTTAGGTAATATCACATGTGGTCAGGCAGGCAGCGTACATGTGGCTTTATTTTTAGGAACAGATCAGTCAGATCGGTATTGTTACGTTACGAAATAGTCTTAGGATAGAATATAAAATTTTGTATGCAAGGCAAGTCAGGCGAAATTGCATTTTGTTTGGCATCATGCTGGAGATCGTCGAAAGAGGGCCTCTTCAAAAAGTGTGTTTTTCAAAGGATCGGACATTCGGATTACAATTTGCAGAGATGGTTGGGCGATTCATGATTAACGTCCGATACCAAAGCCCTTTTGTCATTCAGAGAACGAGGAGGCATCTGAGCCAGCAGACTCTGGAACACGTAGTTCAGACAGGGCGTCAATTGAAGTTGGCTCAAACCTTTGCGAAGAAAGACAAAGTCAATTTCTTCTAGCAGGCCGTACGAGACTTCGCTATAGACGGCTTGTGCTGGCAGGCTAAACGAAGAAGTTGTGCAAGCAGAAATTAATTGAAACGGAACAATACTACTCTTAAAAAGGGCAGACGACTTGCTTAAAAATAGGATATTTATGCTAATTTACATCAGCAGCCTTGTGTGTACCTTGCGCAAAAAATATTGCGGAGTTCAAAGTCTTGTTGCCACCACGTAAAGTAGCCATCCTTAACCATCTATCAACAGTATTCAGGCATATTAAGCGCAGGAATCTGATGCTAACGGTGGTAGGAGTGTCAGTTGAAGTCGTCACGATCTGTCTTCCACAGAGAAGCACTTTTGAGAAAGAAACAATCTAAAAATTATGCGATTAGAGCTTATTCCCCGGCTTCTACAAAATGACCTGTCATTGGGAGCATGACACTCAGAGTGAACTACCGCTGGCCGTCAAAGCATCTATAAGCTAAAAAAATATATGATACCCTTAATTGGGAATAAATTGGACAATACTTAACTGCATTTGTCCCCTTCAAATGAAAACTAGAAACGATTGCATTAAATTTAGAAGGTACTCTGAAATTAGTGACATTTGTATACTCTCCAAATAGAGTCTAACA